GCGGCAGCAGCAGCAGTGGCAGCGGCGGCAGCGACTGCAGCATTAGTCGACTGCTTTCGCGGTCGTCTCCCCTACCACGACGACTGCAGACTGCAACAAGGGACGAACTAGGACTGAGAGGGAGGCGATAAACTGCACCAATCGGTCTATCGATCTCAGGTGATTCATGCTCCAGGTCAATGTCATATTACACACATTACACGCGATGCGCAAATGGTACTGTCCTGCAGCATGAGGCAGTTCGCAAGAAACCGGCCTCGACCCCACGAGCTGTTGAGCAGCGCGCGGGATAAGGGCATCTTCCGCAGAGTCCATGGAAAGCTCGCTGAAGACAACGAGTCAGCACATGGTTTGATCGCATTAAAAAGCTGGAGCTGTCCAAGCTGCTGGTGCTCGTAACGTTTGCTTGGCCAAGTATGGCTAAGGCACGACTAGCGAGAGTGTTCTGGAGCTACTGAGATTCTAACCATTGCCTGTCTCACCCCTAACAAACATCACATTCCTTGCAACACGGAAGACCCGTCCATAACACATCCCAACTTAGTCCACTCTCTGCTTGTGCTGCTGCCATGACTGTTAACTCCATGGAACAGCCCGATGCTCGGTAGAAATCGAAATCGCGACGCAGGATCGCAATCAGAACCGACATGAGACGTTTGAGTTTAATGTATACACACACAGACATTTGATGACATTTACATTCATATATATATATATATANNTATATATATACATATGTATATAAACATATATATATGTCTTTATAGACATGTATACAGACATAGATATAAGATACAATTGAAGCCCAGCGGTTCGAAGAAAGCAGGGCCCCGGCTGCGAGGGGTCTTGATGCTCATGGGCGACGCCATGGCACGTGGCGTGCATTCGGCTGCCAGGAATACAAAGACGGCTTGTCATCGTAGCAGCAAGAGTAACGGCAATGGTATTCTTTGATAATAACTATCATCAGAATCAGAATGCTGCTAGCATACGGAACTCAACCAATAGTTTGAATGTCGTGTCCGAGCTCGGGTGATGCTCAGATGGGAAGAGCTGCGCAGACAAAATGAAGGATGCCTCGGGCCGGTAAATGTCACAAGTGCTTCGGCTGAAAAACCGGTGTGGCAAGTATGATCTGAGCATGTCTCCAGGGATCGGTACGCATGCCGCATATCCCATCTTTCTAGACACGAGTGTGTCCACCAGGCGAGATCTGCTCGAGCCATGGACTCGGCTACCAAGTCCTTGATGTCAACGAGTTGTGCTGAGCATATGTAGCAAAGGCACTGCCAATCGACACGGGTGCATGTGCATGTTAACATCACTCCTTTTTCTACTGGCGTCGATAAAGCCGACTAACTGTACAGCACTTCTCCGGCACCTTTTTGCCGAATGTAAAGTTTAAAGCGAGCGGTCTTAGCGGTACCTGAACGAGTCTAGCACATCAGCCGCTGAACCACTCTGACGCAGGAATCACATTTTTCTTGCCCTGCTTTTCCTTCTTTTTCTTCTGGCCACCCTGGCAAACAAATACGGATGCACACACATCTTCATGTGCATTGACTCAACTATGCCGACATAAGCAGCTATATGTCTGTACGAGTACACGCGCAATTATGTACTCGTGTGTTCATCTAGAATCTAGAAACGCAATGGATTTATTTGCCGACCGACAGAGACAGAGAGAGAGGGCGAGAGAGNNGAGAGAGAGAGAGAGAAAGCAAAAAACCTGTAAGCCCACCTCCTTGGCAAGAGCTTCAGGTTCATCACCTTATGTGAGGCAGTGCAAGTCACGGTGCATCGCAAAGTCGAGAGCGGCAAGATTTCGGCAAGGAAAGAACTTCTCCCAACCACGATTGCACTTACCATATATGCCGCCCTAGAGATCTTCCTGCACGCCGCTGTCTCAAGAAATGGTTCTACAAAAGCCTGAAAGATATCTGCATCCAGCTTAAACTGAGGTCTTTATGGTGCACCGGGACTTGCACCACGAAGATTCGCCTGAGCTCCCCGCCCTTGGTGAGAAGAAGCAGCTCCTACCCCCGGCAATCAAAGCCGC